CAGTGGATGGAATGGAAGGATGATGGAATGAGGGACGCCACTCAGCTTTATGGGATAAGCAGAGATAAGTCAAGAACTCAAGAGATAGGCTTCTCACACAATCTCAAAGAACTCTGATTTTTGTTTGCAATTCTGAAAGAACAACAAAAAGGGTTTTTTTCTTATTAATCAAGTGTAAAAAATACATAGCTGAATGGAACCTTATATATGGTTCAAGCAGCTGAGGGCTTCCTTGGCCAATTTATTACAATAATTAATGCAAGAATCAAAAATGCAAAATCAAAGGAAAATCAAAGCAAGAAATACAAAAGTTCATAACTAAAAGATAGCTAATTTTAAGGGATTTAGCTGTTGAGATCAAACAAACATAAACACAAGGATTAGTCAAAATATGATATAAATGATTCAGAAACTTACCTTGGTTTGCTGTGGGCGGATTGGTACATTTGGAAATCCGGTTTGATCTCTCCTTTGCTTTGATTCAGCTCGGTTTGATGGAAAACAAGGTGGTTCCTTGGTTGGATGATATAACCGGCCAAACTTCTTCATGTGAGTTGAATTTGATGTATGGACCGTCCTGCTGGTGTGTCTCATGAACTTGAGTGATGTGGTCTTCAAGTGTCTCATGTGAAGTGTCCGTTGAAGTGATGGCAAGCTTGTCAAGTTGGTCCGTTATTTCTTCAAGTGCTTGTTGGCTTATTAGACTCTCCACAGCTTGATTATACTCTTCTTGAAGTCTTTTTGTACCAGCTCTTGTCCTTGGTGGAAACCCCATTGTTGGAATCACTACTTCAGGTTTGATGTCCGCATCATTCCCTCCCTCTTGAGAGGGTTCTGACCTCAGAACTGTTTCTGCCACATCAAAAGGAGATAAATCAGTAATATTGAAAGTGGGAGAAATGTTTAAATCACCTGGCAGTTCCAGCTTGTAGGCATTATCATTGACACGTTCTAGCACCCTGAATGGTCCATCTCCTCTTGGCGAAAGTTTGGACTTCCTTTGAGTGGGAAAACGTTATGTCCTCATGTGCAACCACACCCAATCTCCTGGTTGAAAGGTGACTTTTTTCCTCCCTTTGTCTGCTTTTCTCTTGTACTAAAGTGTTTTCTTCTCTACATTCTCCTTTGCCTTAAGGTGCAACTTCTTAACAAACTCAGCCTTCCTCTCTCCATCTTGGCTGGCATGCTCATTTTGTGGAAGTGGAGAAAGGTCCAGTGGTGTGAGAGGCTTAAAACCGTAAACAATCTCAAAAGGAGAGAATTTAGTAGCAGAGTGTGGGACACGGTTATAAGCAAACTCAACAAATGGTAAACAGTCAAGCCAATTTTTCAAGTTGTTACCGATGATGGCCCTCAAAAGGGTGGATAATGTGCGGTTGACAACTTCAGTCTGGCCATCTGTTTGGGGATGGCATGTTGTGGAGAATAGCAATTTCGTCCCTAGCTTCCTCCAAAGCGTTTTCCAGAAGTGGCTGAGGAATTTGGTATCTCTATCTGAGACAATGGTCTGTGGTAGACCATGTAGACGTACCACCTCCTTGAAGAACAAGTCAGCTGTCTGTGTAGCATCATTGGTCTTTGCACAAGGTATGAAGTGTGCCATCTTAGAGAATCGGTCCACCACCACAAAGATGGAGTCCTTGTTCCTTATCATGGGCAAACCTAGTACAAAATCCATAGAAACATCTTCCCAAGGCATATTAGGTATATGCAATGGAAGATAAAGACCATGAGGGTATGACCTGGATTTTGCCTTAAGGCAGATGATGCACTTGGAACAGAACCGTTCAACATCTCTTTTAAGATGAGGCCAGAAGAAATGCTCCACTACAATGCTCAACGTCTTGTCTACTCCAAAGTGTCCCATTAAACCACCTCCATGTGATTCTCTTAACAGCAAATCTCGCATGGAACCTTGTGGAATGCACAATCTCTTGTCTCTGAACAAGAAACCTTCATGCTGATAGAATAGACCTACAGCTCCTTTGTAGCACTCTTTGTATGTATCTGCAAAATCAAGGTCTGTTTCATATTGCAACTTAATATGTTCAAAACCCATTACCTTAGCCTCCATAGTGGTGATGAGAGCATAGCGCCTGGAAAGAGCATCAGCCACTATATTTTCTTTTCCCTTCTTGTACTTGATAATGTAAGGGAAGGTTTCTACAAACTCCAGCCATTTGGCATGTCTCTTCTTAAGTGTAGTTTGTCCTCTTAAGTGTTTAAGAGTCTCATGATCTGTATGAATGACAAACTCTTTAGATAATAAATAGTGTTGCCAAGTTTCAAGAGATCTCACCAAAGCATAAAGCTCCTTGTCATAAGTGGGGTAGTTCAAGGCTGCTCCATTGAACTTCTCACTAAAGAAAGCTACTGGACGTCCTCCTTGAGTCAAGACAGCTCCTATACCAGTTCCTGAAGCATCACATTCAATCTTAAAAGTCTGATCAAAATTAGGCAATACCAAAACGGGTGCATGGGTGAGGCTGTGTTTGAGCTTGTTGAACGCCTCTTCTTGTGCTTCTCCCCATTTGAATGCAACATTCTTCTTGATAACTGACGTGAGTGGGGCTGCAATGGTGCTGAAATCCTTGACAAATCTTCTGTAAAAACTTGCCAGCCCATGGAAACTCCTTACATGTCCAATAGTTGATGGAGTTGGCCAATCTTGTATAGCCTTTATCTTTTCGTCATCAACTTTCAAACCCTGAGAACTTACAACAAATCCTAAAAACACAACTTGATCAGTGCAAAAGGTGCATTTCTTAAGATTAGCATAAAGATTCTCCAACCTAAGTGTTTCAAGAACCTGTTCTAGATGTTTGAGATGATCTTCTAAGCAGGTGCTGTAAATCAGTATGTCATCAAAATAGACAACTACAAACTTACAGATGTATGCCCTTAAGACATGGTTCATGAGCCTCATGAATGTGCTGGGGGCGTTGGTGAGGCCAAATGACATAACAAGCCATTCATACAACCCTCTCTTGGTCTTGAAGGCAGTCTTCCATTCATCTCCTTCTTTCATCCTCACTTGGTGATAACCACTTCTTAGATCAATCTTGGAGAAGATAGTGGCTCCATTGAGTTCATCCAGCATGTCATCAAGTCTTGGGATGGGATGCCTGTACTTGATGGTTATATTGTTGACAGCTCTGCAATCAACACACATCCTCCATGAACCATCTTTCTTTGGCACTAGAAGGACAGGAACTGCACAAGGACTTAGGCTCTCTCTGATGTATCCTTTTGACATGTGCTCTTGAACTTGCTTTTCTAACTCCTTGGCCTCCTTTGGATTGACTCTATAGGCTGCACGGTTTGGTAGAGGTGCTCCTGGTACAAGATCGATTTGATGCTCTATCCCCCTTACTGGTGGTAATCCTGGTGGAATCTCATCTGGAAAAACATCTACAAACCGTTTAAGTAACTCAAGTACTTCTGGTGGTAGTTCCTTTTCATCTTGTCCTGAAAACAACGCTTCCTTGAAAACCATTAGTAGCAACTTTTCTTGTGAAACAAGAGATTTAAACACAGATTTAGGTGAAACATAGAGATTAGCTTTACTTACCTCAGAGCTCTTAGTCATGGCTCTCTGCATTTCATGTACCTCTTGTGGGGTAAGAGGGGCTAGATTATGTTGCGGTTGTTGTGAGAAAAACTGTAGTAGTTACTTCTCCCATTGTGTATGGCCTCTTTGTCAAACTGCCACGGCCTTCCTAGCAACAAGTGGCCTGCTTGCATTGGTACCACGTCACATACCACCTTATCTGCATACTTACCAATGGTGAAGGGTATGGTGACTTGCTCAGCAATCTTGAGCTCAGTTTCATCATTAAGCCATCTCAGTTTGTAGGGATGGGGATGCTTGGTCTTCTGCAAACCTAGCTTTTCAACCAAATACTTGCTGGCTACATTAGTGCATGATCCTCCATCAATAATCAAGCTACATACCTTAGAGTTGATTGTACATCTTGAGTGGAAGATGTTTTCCCTTTGCAAGGTTTCTGAATCACAGAGTGTACTGAGTGCTCTCCTCACTACAAGTAACTCTCCAGTTTCAGGATAGTTGGTTACATCATCTTCTGAAAATTCTTGCTCCATTTCTGCTTCATCTTCAGACTCATATTCTCCATTGGGTGTAAGGATCATAACCCTCTGGTTTGGACAGTATCTTGCATAATGTCCTTTACCCTGACACTTAAAACAAGTAATGTCACGAGCTCTAATGTGTTGTTGAGTAGGGAACTTACCTTGCTCGGATTTGGACCCTTTGGACGTTTCTGGTGCTGATTTCTTGAACCGTGAGTCCACTTCTATGGACTTTCCTTTGTCCACATTTCTCTGAGCTTGTGGAGTCCAAGTACTCTTGCTTCTGTTGGTAGAGGTGGTCTTCCTCTTGATATGTTGTTCAGCTTGGATGGCCAAGTGTAGAAGTTCTTCCATGTCGTGGTATACTTGCCTCTCCACTTTCCTAGCAATTCTGTCTTGAAGTCCATCCATGAATTGAGCCATCAAGGTTTCTGGTGGATCCTCTACTTCCAGCCGGTTCTTGAGGATCTCAAACTCATCATAGTACTCTTCCACGGACTTGTTCCCTTGAGAGAGCTTGCGGAATCTCCTTTGCAACTCTCGGTGATAATAGGCTGGTACATACCTCTTCCTTAGGCTGAACCGCATATCTGACCAGTTGTTGATCTGAGCATGTCTATGCCTTCTTCTTTCTGAAACATCTCTGTTCCACCAAGACAAAGCATTTTCAGTTAATTGAGCAGCAGCTAATGATACTTTTCTTACCTCAGAATATTGGTAATAGTCAAAGATGTTCTCCATCCTTCTCTCCCAATCAAGGTATGCATCAGGATTGATCTTCCCGGCAAATGTAGGTGGGGTGAGTCTGATGTCTGTGCCTTTATCTCTAGCATAGTCATCTACCCTGCCTCCTTGACGTGGTCCTCCATTGTTGGGGTAGCCATCAGGATCAGGGGGCAGATCATCATCTAGTTCTGGCATATCGTCATCATTCTGTTGTTGGTTCTTTCTCCCATTAGCTGCTGGGTTAGCCTCTCTGCGTGGTGCAGGAGCTGGAGCAGGAACAGGAGCAGGAGCAGGTTGCTCTATCCTAGCTACACGGTCACCCAAGGTGGCAAGTGTCATTTGGATGTTAGCTAGAATGTTGGCAAGGCCAAGATCTTCAGGTGCAACAGGGTCAGTCATTCTTTCCTGTTTAAGACAAGGAAAACAAACAGATCAAAGTGCAATATGTGTGGTATAGAAACTTCAATTCCAAACACAAAATCAATTTTAAAGTATTTAATCTAACAATGACAAGGGTGAATGCAATGAAATATGACAATAACACAGCAAATTGTTGAAATGAAATGACAAAGGATCAATCAACTGATTTTTTTTTTGTTTTATTTTCAAAATTTAATGGATGCAAAGCAAATCAAGAAAATAATTGCAAATAATTTTTTTTTTAAATAGAATAAGATTTCAAAAAGCTAATAAACAGAATTTTTTTTTATTTTAGTTTTTGTGAATCAAAATGAAACAAAACAAGAACAATTTTTTTTTCCGACTATTCTGGAAATGAAGAACACAAAAACGAAAATGAAGAACACAAGAACAAAAAGTTAAGAACAAGAGATAGATTCACCTGATTGTGGAGCCTAAGCTCTGATACCAGATGATATAAGATCAAGGGGGTATGATCTTATAGTTGATAGGTGAATGGATGGAAACAAAGCAGCTGGACTAAGGTCTCTTTCTACTTGTTCAAAGGATGATCGAAGTGGATGGTGATGGAATCAATCTGCTGGACTAAGGTGTCTTTCAGGTTGATCAGTGGATGGAATGGAAGGATGATGGAATGAGGGACGCCACTCAGCTTTATGGGATAAGCAGAGATAAGTCAAGAACTCAAGAGAAAGACTTCTCACACAATCTCAAAGAACTCTGGTTTTTGTTTGCAATTCTGAAAGAACAACAAAAAGGGTTTTTTTCTTATTAATCAAGTGAAAAAAATACATAGCTGAATGGAACCTTATATATGGTTCAAGCAGCTGAGGGCTTCCTTGGCCAATTTATTACAATAATTAATGCAAGAATCAAAAATGCAAAATCAAAGGAAAATCAAAGCAAGAAATACAAGTTTATAACTAAAAGATAGCTAATTTTAAGGGATTTAGCTGTTGAGATCAAACAAACATAAACACAAGGATTAGTCAAAATATGATATAAATGATTCAGAAACTTACCTTGGTTTGCCGTGGGCGGATTGGTACATTTGGAAATCCGGTTTGATCTCTCCTTTGCTTTGATTCAGCTCGGTTTGATGGAAAACAAGGTGGTTCCTTGGTTGGATGATATAACCGGCCAAACTTCTTCATGTGAGTTGAATTGATGTATGGACCGTCCTGCTGGTGTGTCTCATGAACTTGAGTGATGTGGTCTTCAAGTGTCTCCTGTGAAGTGTCCGTTGAAGTGATGGCAAACTTGTCAAGTTGGTCCGTTATTTCTTCAAGTGCTTGTTGGCTTATTAGACTCTCCACAGCTTGATTATACTCTTCTTGAAGTCTTTTTGTACCAGCTCTTGTCCTTGGTGGAAACCCCATTGTTGGAATCACTACTTCAGGTTTGATGTCCGCATCAGAAGTTGTGTTGATTGATATTAATGAATATAAAAAAATGGGTTATAAATTTATAGTCACTTATTTTTTTTTGGTAAGAGGTAGGAAACGTAAGTCTCCTACTATTTATTCATAGCATAAAAAGGAACTGTTACAACTGTACATGTCGGGACCTTGTCATCCCATTCGCATCGTCCAACACAACAGATCGAACATCATCCGGAACAAAATCAAAAACATGTAAACCAAAAGTAATGAAAACGCAAGGTTCGCCAAACCATCCGCAAGATGATTTGCTTCCCAAAGCACATGTGAAATCTTGACTATCCAGTCTCGCGATATGAAGGCGTAGCACAAACATGCTAGGAATGACAAGGGATGCAACTCATTAATCCATGTCTGTAAAAAACCCACCACCAACTCTGAATCCATTTCTAACTCAAGCTGCATTATTCGGTGCTCCAAGGCGATGCACAAGCCATAATATACTCCCCATAACTCAGCCAATGGAGTCGAGCAGATGCCGATGTTAATCGTGAATCCCCCACACCAGTCCCCATATGCAATACGTAGAGCCTCACCCGCTGTTGCAAGTCCAGGGTTACCCCGTGAAGCACCATCAATGTTCAGTTTCACCCATCCTCCGGAGGTCGGGACCATGCTATTTGTTTCTCCACTCTCACCACTATCCGCGAATTCCCTCTCAACTTTGAGTGTGCGAGTACTGCTTCTTGGGCCAGATCTTTAACAAATTTTACTCTTTCTCGACATTTACCATGAACACCAAAAATATACCCACAACGCCATTTCCTGCTCCACCTAACAACTGTTGCAAACAACGTACTCCAAGCGTTATCTTGTCCTGATACTTCTTAAGCTAAATTTTCATATAGCCATTCAAGTAGGGATTGTGCGAAGAAAACTAGTTTTTGCCTCGGGGATACGAGACGTTTCCAGATCCCAAATGTAGCAGGGCAGTCTCGTAGAACATGAAGAATCGATTCGTTTCCACCCTTACAAACTTGACAGATCTCTGTATCGCTAAGGTGCCGGTGGTGTCTTTCCATATTTGTCATGATGGTTTGATTTGCCACTAGCCATAGGAAGACCCTCACTCTTTCTGGAGCCACTACACTCCATACCCGTTTAAATAACTGCGATAAGTTCTGCCCCGGAGCCTCACTCCTCGTAATGCAGGTATAAGCCGATTTGACAGTGCAATTTCCGTCTTGATTCTCCCCCCATAACACTCTGTCATTTGCTCCTGTAACTTCATCTACTACTATTGATGCCAGTTGTAGTTGAATATTATGAGGGAGCATAACAGATTCCATCCAGGTAGCCAGATCTTGGATGATCCATGCAGTACCATTGCGCCAGAACTCTCGTACGTTAGCATCACTCAAGTGTCCCGGTATTTCATTACTGGCCAGAGTCAAGAGTGGTTTGTTCAAAAGCTATTTATCATGCCAGAAACGAATCTGCATTCCATAACCAACCACCCAACTCATTCCCGAGAGTACTACATCGCGGATACCCAGCATTATACTTATCCATGTAGGAGACCAGTTACCCTTCGCCACAGTCCACGACCCACCATGAACTTCTTTTACTCGATACTTCCTGTGTAGAACCTTTCCCCACAAGCCAGAGTTGTCATTCATCAGTCGCCAACGAAGTTTTGCTAATAAAGCTTTGTTCATATTTTTGGATAGGCGGATTCCCAGGCCACCTTCGTCTTTAGGTCGATATATTCTTTTCCAGGATATCAGGTGTTGCTTCCTCTGTTCAACGGTGCTACCCCAAATAAAGGACCGTGAAATCTTATCCCACTTCTCAAGTGTTGACTTGGGCAGGACAATTGTACTCATAGTATGCACTGGAATTGATGTGAAAACTGATTTAGTCAGTGTGATTCTCCCCGCTAGACTAAAAGCGACCCTTCCATTGCGAGACGCGATGACACTTTCTCAATAGTCTCTCCAAGCGTTTCCTTATTGATTCTCTTTTGCAATATGAGCATACCCAGATACTTTCCTACCTCCAGCGTCGAACTGATCCCACTCTCGTTGCTTATCATTGCTGCCAAATTCCGGCTAACATTATCAGAAAAGAATATCTTAGATTTCTCCAAGCTCACTTTCTGACCTGAAGCCGCACAAAACCTTTCCAGTACCTTTCTTATAACACGGATTTGAACCACAGAGGTTTCAGCAAAGAGAATAAGATTGTCTGCAAAGCACACATGTGATATTTTCGGTCCTCCTCGAGACAAGCTTATTGGTTTCCACTCCTTTGCAGCAATAGAGAACTCAATTTGATGACAGAGTCTCTCCAAACATAGAACAAACAAGTATGGTGATAACGGGTCACCTTGACGGAGGCTCCGTTGAGGAGTAAAAGGTTTTGTTCTCTCCCCATTCCACAACAAGCTCATTTCAGGATCAACAACATACTTCATGATCCACTTAACCCACATATCAGGAAGCCTGGCTGCTCGTAACATGTCCTCAAGGAAATCTCATCTTATCATATCATATGCTTTCTCAAGATCCAGCTTCAAAAGCATCCAGCCCTTTCTCCCCTTTTTACGTCTCATTGAATGCACAACTTCCTGAACCAGGACAATATTATCAGTACTAAGCCTTCCTGGGATAAAGCTTGCTTGAGAGGGGCCAATAAGCTTCGGCATAATCTTCTTCATTTGCAACACCATCGCTTTCGTTATTGTTTTAATTAATACATTGCACAAGCTTATGGGGCGAAACTGTGTGATCTTCTCCGGCTTTATCACTTTCCCCAGAAGAACCACCATTTCCGTAATTGTTCCTTCTGGCAGGTTCCCAAATGTAAAAAACTCAAATACGAACTGAGTCACAGAAGGTCCCACTACTTTCCAACTTTCCTGATAAAAGACCGGTTGGTACCCGTCTGGACCAGGTGCTTTATATTTCCCCATAGACCGAATCAAGACTTCTGTAGAGTAAATAAAGGTTTATTTAACGCCACTATCTCATACCTTGTCAAGGCGGCAAAGCCTTCCAGCGTTAATGGAGTTGTATCCATCACCAGATCCTCTGTAGAGTACAACCTCTTATAATAAGCAATCACTAGCTCTTCCAACTCTTTTGGTTCTGATATCCATCTACCATTATCATCGTGTAAGGTCTTAATCCTGTTCCTTCTTCTTCTGATAATGGTTGATGTATGGTAATATTTGGTGTTTCGATCACCCAAAGCCACCCACTTTTCTCTTGATTTCTGGTACCATAGCACTTCCTCCTGTTCGAGTACATCATCAAACTCTTTCAAGAGGGCAGCTTCTCTGGTCAGAAGCTCATCCGTTTGATAAGTCTCTAAAGTCTCTTGAATATCCTGGATATCCTGCACCAATTTCTGTTTTCGGACCTGCACATCTCCAAAAACTTCCCTGTTCCATTTTCTTAGTTTTGCTTTCAACAACAACAGTGCCTCTGGTGTACTCACGACTCCATTCCACAATGCAGAAAGCAACTCCTTAAATCCTTGATGCTTCAACCAGGCAGCCTCAAAGCGAAAGGGCCTCCTTCTCGGGTTCCCATTCATCTTTGGCTGAAGTTGAATATAAATAGGGGCGTGATCCGATGCCAAAAAATGGAAGATGAGACATGACAGCTTCTTGCCATTTCAGCCGTAATCGTGCTATCCAATCTCTTCGCGATAAAGTTTATCTCTTCACGACCTCTCTTCCAAGTGAAACTGTTGCTCCTGAAACCCATATCTATCAACTCGAGTTCATTGATCCAACTCCCAAACGCCAAGGAGTCTAAAGACAACCTGCCATTACCCCATGTTTGTTCATCTAATCTCACAATTGTATTAAAATCGCCACCAATCAACAAGGGTTCATCAATAGCTTGAACAACTCTTCGTAACTGTCCCTACAAACCATTCCGTCGACTAACAGTTGGCGCTGCATAAACGACGATCAGGTGAGTAGTTTCACCTCCTATCCCCACGCTCGCATGGATGTGCTGGTCAGAGGATTCCACCACAGTCATATCCCCGACTTGTGTCCTCCACAACAACCATATACCTCCACTTTCCCCGACTGCATCTACCCGAAAGGAATTCTCGAACCCCAAGCCTTGACAGATTCTTCGAGCTATATCTCCTCCAGCATGAGTCTCAAATAAAGCAAGGACATCTGTGCTGTATTTCTTCAAAATGTAACTGATTGATCGCCTGAAATTGGGTTTATTTACCCCCGGCAGTTCCATAATAAGCAGTTCATCAACTCTATATGCATCTTTGTAAACTGAAACGCCGGGGCTTCCTGTTACGCGATCGTTGGGCCAACCTCTGTCTCCGACAATCTCATAACCATGTCCAATTCCCCAGATTGCCAGACCTCACTTGGCTCTCCCTGGTTCGGGTTCTCCACATACAGGGTTAAGCTTCGTTGATTTTCACTCTCTAGTTCCCTCTCCAACCCGTTCACAAACACACCCCCTGGTCTCCCCATTCGATCTTGCTCGACCCTCATTCTCTTCCCCGACTACGATAGTTCAATTTCACCTCGAGTCGGACCAAACACCAAACCAAGCATGGGCCTAGTAGGATTATGCTTTGGCTTCTGTTTATTTCCTTTCGTGGGCCTGCTACTTCCGGTGGTTTTTTCCAGAGGCCCACTTGTACAACTTTGTTGTTCTTTCACAATCCTCCCGCCAAAAACTATATCTTTAGATTGATCAATATTCTTTCCTTTCTCCTTCTCATTCGGGATATGCCCAATCTTACGATTTTCCTTTTCTATAGGCTCGACTTGCCTTATCTCCGAAATACTCGTATCCTCTCCTAGCATGCCAAAGCTGTTTGAGGTCGTGATATTCTCTAACTCCATATTTTGTGGGATCTCTTGAAGATTCCTTCCTAAATCAGCGGTCACAATCTTCTTCGCTCCTCTTACGGATTTTGACACTCCTCCCATCCTTTACGCTCTCCAAACCACAGTGAAACCCTCCTCCGCCTGCGGAGAACTACTCGGCGTCTCCTTTCGCCCTTGTGTCATAGTACTTACTAATCTCTCCGCGACTGACTTAGGACATGTTTGAATCAAATGCCCGTACATTCCACAACTCGAGCATATGTTCGTTAAGCCCTCATACACAACAAAGTATCTATCTCCATTGATAGACAATGTACCTTTCAACGGTCTCGATAGATTAACCTCCATGCATACTCTCGCGAATCGAGCCCTTTGAAATTGTTCTGTAGTTTGGTCAACTTTGACTGGTTTCCCCAATCCCTTGGCAATCCTCAATAGGATCGTTCGATGGTAAACATTCACCTGAATATTCGATAAATGCACCCACACTGGTGTCGTAGTAATCTCATCCCTAAATGGGTCAAACTCAGGCGACCACGCTTGCGCCATAAGGTAGCTCCCAAATGCTCTCCATGGTCCACCCGTTAAAGCTTTCATATAGTCCTCCTCCTCTGCGAACCGAATCATAAAGAATTCACGGGGCAGATCAACAACGAACATCGCCTCACTTGGCTTCCACAACTCCTTCAACTTTCTGCTCAATGCAGCAATCTCGACATTCCTTCTCAACACTTTCACGACCATACACTGCTTCCATAAACCATTCATTGCCTCCAACACTTCCTGCTCTATCGTGATCTCTGGTTCGCCGTCCTAACCATGAGGGAACTCCACACGCAGTCGGTCAGCACGAAACTATGGTCCAGCAACATCTCTGGAATCGGCAAACCGCCTTTATTCGTACCCGTCACCTTCCTTGCCCACGACACAGGCTTGTCAGGCGGGTCCGATGGCCTTGTTTTGCTTCCAATCTTCGTCATCACAGCGTCCCGATCACCACTCTCCGAAACCCTAAAATCGCCGCTCTCCATTAGCACTATTTTTTTATAGTCACTTATTTTGGCATATGCAAATAAAATAAAAAATCTATATATCTCATAAAAATTGAAAATATGATCAAATCACATATGAAATGTAAGAGCTAAAAAATCTGCAAAAGTAATTTATAACCAAATTTTTCTTAAATATAGAATATGCTCATATACCACACAATTAATTGATAAAAATATTTTTTTTAAACATATATTTTCAAATGGAGAATATTCTGCTATCATACTATTATTAATACAGCCAGAATAAATATATAAATATATTTTTATTTTATTTTACTGTAAGATTTTGTTAAAAGTATTTAGAGCGATATTGACATTAGATTTGCCAAAATAACCAATTAATTATTTAATTAACTTTTTTGTTTTAGAAGGAATTTTTTATAAAATATTCATAATTTTTTTGAATCATTCTTTTTATTTTGAAATAAAGTCCTAAATGGTAATAGAATTTTTTTTTCTTCACATGGATAGTTAGTAAATTTTAGATGAACTCAAAGTTCCAAAAAAAAAAAATTAGATGAACTCAAAGTGATTAATTGTCTAATCGATCTTTTAAATCTCCATTTAGATACAATTATTCTTAGAGCTAATATCGGTTAAATATAATATGATTTTAATTTCTCAACAAAATAAAAAAAATGAATAAATAATGAAGTTGGTAGAAGACATATGGATAGAAGTAAACTAAAAAAAAAGTGTAGACACTAAAATAAGGCCTCGAAAAATGAAAATGCAGTTCTAGCTTAGAGACTCTCTTGAAACGTTTTGTACCTTTAAAATGGACAAATACATATAAAGCTAATCTAGTCCAATAAAATATTTATGTACATTAAAATGAGACACCATATTCTTCATCCTCCTCGAGAGAAGAAATGAAGGTAGAATGTCCAGTTCAAGCCAAACATAATCCAAAGAGTACCACCAACGTTAGGTTACTCATCACTGCCGTCAAAGTCGTCGTTGCCACCACTGAAACTTTTTGCCCCATGAATATTTCCTTTCCTGCTTTGGTCATCTCACTTCTCCCTTCCTCTCTCACATTGGAGGCAAACTCGCTGATATTTTGGTATGCCAAACATTTGACAAATCTGCAAGACAAATAAATAAAGTTAGAAACATGAAAAATGAAATAAAACTAATCTAAAGTGAAAAATGATGATGGTCTCTATTGTTGACAAAACCATAGAATCAAAGCTTAAAATCATGCAATCGGAGATATAAGCTCATCAAGATATGTTCATCATGATACGAACATTGGATAAAGATGAGATTTTGTTATTCCTTGCTCAACTTTAAACGAAATCGAATCATACAAAACACAGAATTAGATAGCAAAGGTAAGAAATCATACCATGTTAGACGCCAGAAAGCTTTCAGATTGTCAATTGAGGCATGGGTTAGTGATGAGGAGAGACTCAAGCTTTACCAAAGCAATCTAAACAGATCAAACATAAATTTATTTGTTAGTGCATTCGTAGATATATAAAATAACTAATCATAATTTTTTTAATTCAAAATCAACAAAAAATATAATCTTTAAAAAACTGGATGTTTTATCCAATGAATTTGACATGTACTCTTATATAATGAATAAGGAGGACATCGATTTAGATATATAAAATAACTAATCACAATGTTTAGATTGTTTCAAAATTTTGGGAATTAAATATCATTTTATATTTAGAAGTTTTTATTTTGTAAAAAATAAAATATAGAGATATTTCTGATATTATATATATATATATATATATTATGTATTCCATTTATTGTTTTGATTGGTTGTTAAGATTTATTTTTGGAAATACTTATTAATGGAAAAAGTACATATTGGTTATACAAATTAATTGAGTAATGATTGAATGTGTAGATCAAGTTAAATAGCAATGATATCGGGATTTAGAATATATTGTTTTTGAAAATAGAAAGTTAGAATGTGTTTAGGATTTTATTTAAGATTTACAAACTGATATTATTTGCTATATAATATGAATATTCAAGTAATTCAATGAAAAATGTAGGAATTTAAAGACTTTTTTGAATAGATATTTAGAATATATGGTTGTTTTAAGAAAAAAATGATTTAAGGTTCAGATAGACTTAAATTTTTAATAATTTAATCAATTATTATTTATGTATTTATATCAATTCACTGTTTATATTATATAGAAGTTGTATTTAAAAACAGTACTTATTCCATATATCAAATTATATATTGCAGTAATATAATTTAAGGTTTGGATAGTATAAAATTATATATAAGAAAAAATTATTATTTATGTGTTTATAACGATTTATTGTATCTAGTGTAGAAGTTTTATTTCAAAAATAATACACAAACACATTTAACTGAAGTAATTATAGTATTTTTATGTGTAACACTAATAACTGGATACATAAATATATTAAACGAATAGTAATGTAGATTAGAGTAGTAGATTATTAATAGAGTGTTTGGTAATAAGTGTATCAATTACATTTAACATTAATAATTCTGTAATTTAAAGGAAAATAAAGTAGATAAATATAGTGTTTGGCAATAAGACTAGTTTAATAATTGATTAAATTAAAAAATGAGAAAAAAGAGATAATGACATATCAGCCTCTAATACTTCCTATTTAATATATGTTAGATTGGTATGTTGGAAATCACAGATAATAATCAGACTTGTTGTCTTTTTGTTTTCGCTAAAATTTAGTTTCCTTTATACTAGGTTACTATCCGCACGTTCGTGCGGGGTAATGTTTGTAAAATTTTTATTAGATTTTCTATAATTTATGAAGTTTTGAAAAATATTTGGGTATCTTAAAATGTTCAGTCGAGATTTGAGAAAATTATGTTATTTTTATTTTTAATTTACTTTCGTCCGAGGTTTCGAAAAATAATTTTTTTAATGTTTGTATAATATGTGAATACAAAGCTGTTGCAATATAATAAATACTTGTAGATCTAAAACATGGAAATAACTTTTATTTCCATTAATAAAACAGGTTACTCGTTTAATTTACTAAACCAGTGAAATTATCGAATTATTTGTAATTGGTTCGATTTAAATTTGATTTAATTTAAGTGATTTAAAATAAAGTGTTTGGTAATAAAGATAGCATACAAAAATAAATCAATAAAAATATTAGAAAAAGAAGATAATGACACATAATCTAATGTTTTCTGTTTAATATATGTTAGATATTTTTTTTTTAAAACAAAGATTCACTTAAATTTTCTATCATATTTGTTTAAATCGAGTTGCTTAAATTATATACAAAAAATCTAAATATTAATTGTAGAATTTTAAAATATTAAATATAATTAAAAAATACATAATTAGAGAAGCTTTTGTTTGGTTGCAAGAAAGATTATGTTTGGTTGCAAGAATAAATAATTTAAGTTTGTAACCATTATTGAGATTTAAAAAATTCAAAATTCTGAGATAATGACACATAAACCACTAATGCTTCATGTTTAATATATGTTAAATTATATGTTTGTTGTGAAAGCCAGAATTATTTTTTGTATATAAATTTATTGTTTTCCTTTTTTTCAACTGATTTTGAACTTTATTGTCAATGTCAGCTTTCAAGAACTTAATATTAAATAGAACTACTTGATTAATAAGACGATATGTTGTATCATTTATTACCATTTATAGATCTCTACTAAATTTATTTTTGTAGATATGGTACATATTTTTCTTAACTATAAATATGTATATATATATTTTAACTATTATTTGAGAAGCATGTTTAAAGAAAAAATCTGATGTGTCATCAGCTTAGTAAAAGTTAGTGTAAATTAATGGTGACATGAAATTGTGACATGAAAATGTGATATGACAAATTTCTTAAAATAAACGAAATATTTTGATTGGTTGAATTTTAAATAATAAATTATATAATTATAACATAAATACACTACATTATAACACTAAAGTTAATAAATTTAAATAAACAGAAAATAATAATTACAATGATTTCAATTTGTTTTTACATATATTCATAATAGATAATATGTTCAGTCTAATAAAGATCTCTCTTTAAACCCACTAACTCTTGTTCAGTCTTTAGATCGAATTTAAGTTATCACAGTTGGCGCCGTCTGAGGAGAATAAGAGACTAAATCATTAAAGAACAGCGGAGCTTGAAGATGGTTGAGACACCCACCGATCGCGATACCACCGCTCCCTCTAGAGAAACCACCGATCTCCCGAGAGACAATACCCATAGTCGACCCAACCACCAGACATCCCGTGGTTGATCAGACCAATCTACAGACAGACGATACAGCCGCCGCGAACACCCCGGTTCAACAAGTTCTCCAGATTAGACCCGCAGAAGACAAAACCGTTCCTGCAGCAGCCACGACCGAACAGCCAGCAGCGGACTGGCGAATCAAAATCCGACATTTTCTCGAAACAGGCGAGTTACCGGCTGACAAGTGGACAACTCGGCGAATTCGTGCCCGCAACGCTAAGTATGCAATCATCGAAGGCGTCTTATGTCGTTGGACAGATTCGGGCATATTGCTTACTGATTTACATGGGGACTAGTTACAGCGATGCATGAAGGTTACTCATGACGGTGCAGGAGGAAATCACTCTAGTGGACAAGCTCTCGCCCTTAAAATAAAGAAACATGGTTTTTTTGGCCAACTATATAGGAAGATTGCATCAAGTATGCTCAGAAATGCAAGTACTGCCAGTGACACGCCCCGATGATCTATCAACCGACAGAGTTCCTAACTTCGGCGATCCCTCTGTATCATGCATTGGGCTATGGACATCGTCGGGCCTATGATTTCTTCTCGTCAACGTAAGTACGTGCTCATCATGACTGATTACTTCACTAAATGGGTTGAAGCCAAGGCGTTTTCCTCTAAAATATTGGTGGATTTCTCTCCAACCTATTTCTATTTTACAGAAAAAAAAGATTGTTACTTTTTCCTCTAACTATAGAAGAAAAAATATCATCTCTATTTTTCTTTGTATGAAGATTTAAAATAAATGTGGATTTGAGATGGTTTAAACCATAGATATAGCCTAAGATTTTTCAAAAAAACCAAAGTCATAAAGATTTATTTTTACTTTTACTTCTACTTTTTATGGGAAAACGATCTATTTCCCCCAAATCGCAAAATCCCCAAATCGACAAACCCTAAATCGTGAAATCCAGAATATTGTTTATCTCTAATGTCGTTAGTTCCTGGTGATGACATCGGCAAGTTCGACGAAGAAGCAGTTGACCGAGAAAAGGCTGAAATCGAGCAATTTCTCCCAGAGTCCGAGGATGAGCAACCAATTGAACATGATGTGTATCCCGAAACCGAAACCAATAGTGATGAAGGAGAAGACGGAGAAGTTGAAGAAGGTGTTCGACGAGAGAGACAAAGACAGCGGACCAATATCAGACGTGGTGATGAAAGATAATACAAGGACCAACCATTCTTCAATGGAGTCGCATTTAAAGAGTGTGTGCTCGACCATGTACTAAGAACTGGTCGAAATTTGAAGCAATACATGTATGATAAGGATAAAATAGGGTTTAAATGTGTTGGTGGTGTTAGTGGTATAAGTGATCTTGAAGAAAACAAAGGACGTATGTGGCAAGTATATGCTTCGATCCTGCCAAATGACGCAATGTGGAGAATTAGGTTGTTTGTAGATGAGCATAGCTGTGTTCCTAAGGGAGAATGTGAGATAATTAAGGTCCTTGTTATTGTTAGAATGTTTGTTGATAAGATTAGAGAGGAACCTGATTATTACATGCCTATGAAGATTGAAGAAATTGTAATAGAAAGATGGAAGATTGGTGTATCTAGGGCTCAGTGTCATGCTGCAAGAAATAAAGCATTGAGGTGGATCGAATATGATTATGATCAACAGTTTGCTCGCCTTAAAGATTATGCTGTTGAGTTAGTGGAGTCAAATAAGGATTCAAGTGTGGAGATTGATACTTTTAAAAATGCAGAAGGCCAAGATGTGTTTAATAGTTTCTATGTCTGTTTTGATGTGTTGAGAAGAACATGGAAAGAGACTTGTAGGCCTCTTATCGGATGGCACATTCATTTCTAGAAAAGTCAAAGGACAAGTATTAGTGGCTCTAGGTAGAGACGCAGACAATGCTATATATCCTATAGCATGGAGTTGTGTCCAAGTGGAAAGCACTGATAATTGGTTGTGGTTTGTGAGAAAACTGAAGGCCGACTTGGGATTGAATGATGGTGATGGATTTTTTATAGTGTCTGATCGGCAAAAAGTAAATAAATTGCTTATTTGATTACTTATTTGATTTTGGTTATTGAATGATGGTGATGGATTTATTATAGTGTATGACTTGTTGCTTTAACTTGTTTTTCTGTTTCAGGGATTTATCAAAGCAGTTAAGGAAGAATTGCCAAAGGTTGAGTATAGAAAGTGTGTGAGACAAATCTATGGCAACCTGAAGAAGAATCATTGGAGGAAAAAACATATGAAGCCATTGATATGGAATTTGGCGTAGAGCTATAATGATGCACAGTTTCAAGAGAATATGGACAGGCTTCAAAACTATGATAGGTGTCTTTGTTGATGTGAAGAAGCCAGATCCAAAGACCTGGTGTAGAGCTTACTACAAGAAGGGGAATTATTGTCAAGATGTAGAAAAAAACTCCACTGAATCTTTCAACAAGACAATTAAAAAGGCGAGGGAGAAGGCATTTATTCCTATGCTAGAAACCATAAGAAGATTGGCGATGGTTCGTATTGCCAAAAGATCAGCCAAATCTCACGACCACAATAGTATAAGTTTTTTTAGTGTTCTGTTTTTTGGTATATGTGTTTTTAGTTCTTTCACTTCAATTTTTTTTGCTTTTTATTTCAGGGATTTGTACACCCTTTGTTACAAAGTTTCTTGCAGGCGAGCATGAGCAAGCTTCTTTATGTGTTGTTACTAGTGGCACAAATGGATACTATGAAGTAAGGCTGGGTGGTTGTTCTTACCGTGTCAACTTGGAGAAGAGGACTTGCACATGCTTCAAGTTTGATATTTGTGGGATCTAATGTGAGCATGCCAATGGAGTAATAATGGTGAAAAAGCTTGTAGCTGAAGACTTTGTTTGTCACTGGATTCACACATCGACATGGAGGAGGAACGACGAAGAAGGCCTTGTTCCAGTAAGAGGTGCACGGTTCTGGCCCCAAACAGATCATCCGAATGTGCATGTTCCTTCTGAATCTGATCAACCTGGCAGGAAGAAGGAAACTAAGGCTGACAAGAAGAGAAAGAAAAGTGTGAATGAGTCTCCAACCAAGAAGGCAGACAAAGTAAAGAAAAGGATAATGCATTGTGGAGTATGTGGTGTAGCTGACCATAACTCAAGATTTCACAAGAAGATATCCGAAGAGGTTTGTGGTTTCTGGTTTTGACTTGTGTTTTGGGATGAAATTTATTTGTGGTATCGGATTTAAGCATCATTTGTGGTATCGGGTTTAAGCTTTGTTAGGGGTATCAGTTTTAAGCTTTGTTTGTGGAATCGGTTTAAGCTTTTGTGTGGAGATTGGTTTCTGATTTTATTGCAGGCTTCTTAAGTGTTTTTGGTTTTACTGCAGGCTTTTTAAGGGAATCCTCTCAAGGAACTCTCACTCAAGCTCAATCTTCTCAAGCTATGGAACAAATATAGGAAGAAGGAAGTAACGGATAAGAAGAGGTCGGTTTTTGTGTAGGCTAAGAAGAAGGAACTTATGTATGGTTGGTTTTGTGTTTCTGCATTATTTGTACTTTTTGCAGGGTCGGTTTTTGTGTAAGCTAAGAAGAAAGATTTTGTTTATGCATTATTGGTACTTTTTGCACTTATTTTTTGGTAATACAATATGATCTTTTGACCATTTCTTTATGTTCTTGTACTTTTCAATGGTAAGCATAGATAATTGTAAATAAACAAACCACAATTATATTATCAAGACATGAATCCAAGACATTACCAATAAAAAACAAACACAGCACAAAACACTAAACAAAAATAAATACAAAGCACAAAACACTAACCTCAAAATGTATCAAAACTTTAAATAAAACCCAAAAGCACATCTAAGAAGATCATCACCATTTTTTAAAACTAGCTTCATGAATCCAACAACAATCATACACCCAATGACCACAAGTACCATCATCTTCTTCATGCTACATTTTGCATCAATCAAGCCATTTTCAATCCTCTCCATTATGTCATTCTCAAGCTTCATTTGAAGCTTCTCAAAAACAGCATTCTCAAACTCCATACACTCTGTAGTAATCTCTTTCAACTCTTGTTCAAGTCTTGCATTTTTGAATTGCAATGTCTGAATCTCATTTAAGACTGCCTCATCAACCCATTTGAATACATGATGGTCATTCAGAAGCTAAAAACAGAAAAACCAACATCAATAACAATCGCAACCAACGAATCACAACCAACAAATGAGTTTTTCAATTTATATTACCTTCTTTGATGTTGCATAACCACAACGGAAGTATCGCCGATAAGGATTTTGGTCGGATTTGGACATCAAAGCTACAATATCCTCGCCACACCAACATCTCTTTGGCACGCCCACAACTCGTCCGCTTCTTGGCTGATTGCTTGATGTTCCGCTCGAAGGTGTTGACATATTACATGTTGCTCCAGACATGATGATTTCCCTACAAATATAGAATCATCAACAGAGCACAAAAATGACAATCGCTTTTGCAGAATCGAGCTTCTACTTATGAAATACAAGAATGATTGTATGATTTTCGAAGGACTTACACTAGTATTTGAGAATTCGTAATCGCTTTTGCAGACTCGATTTTTCAGAATCGATTCTAGTGTTCTAATAAATTTGATTTGGGGATTTTCGGGAGTTTAAATTGAATTGGGTATTTTAATGGGTCATCGGATCTGGTTTAGGTGGATCCAGATTTTTCATTCGGTCTGGTTTCAGAGGTTCATTTGGTTTGGTTTGTTTGGTTTTCGGGTTTACACCAAATCAAAGTTTGTAGAGATCTAGTTCTTTAAGTATTTATTCGGGGATATCTAGCTCTTTAAGTATTTTGGGGGGATATCTAGAACGAGGTCATAGTTCGGGGGATTTGTGATGCTATATGATACTTCTCGGAGGAAATAGATCGTTTTTCCACTTTTTATTCATATATATAGTATTATAAACAAAATATTTGCTAAGAAGATACTCATAATTTATTTTTCTATCGATTTATTTTTTTATTTTATTTATAATGTCGAATTTTTATTATATAATGAAAATTCATTCACATATGATATATATAATCTTTTTTCTTATTTAAAAATGAATTATGTAATTTTAACTTAGCCAATCAAAACATTTCATTTATTTTATGAAATATGTCATATGTCACATTTCGAACTGATCATATACTAAGTTTTTTTCTGGTTGCGATACATCATTTTTTTTTTCATTAAAACTACTTATCAAATAATATTAAATAATCTTAAGGATTAAAGAGAAACAAATCTTGACGGCTTAACGCATTTATGTAGTCTGATTATGCGCTAGAGATTCTCAATCAAGATAAAATCGATTCGACCCAAACAGATATAAAAATAATTATCAAAAGTCTTTAATTGTTTCTATCTTCTGCTTGCACGAGTTTCAAGGAATTTAAGTCAACGTAAAGGCTTCATGCATGTTAGAAAGTAACTCTTAAGGTACGTGACTATTACAGTTATAATTAAAAAGAGTGATTCTTCATCCCCTCTTTCATGTCCATCTAGACGCCACCTAAATATCAAAAGAGGAAAATATGTCAATGCTATCGAACTATACAGAATAACATTCCCAAAGGAAAAGATATAATATATATATTGTTTGGGTTAAAGATAGAATATACATGGTTGTTCTTTTTTTTTGTTCACCAACTAATATGGTTGTTCAATCTATATAACGATTTGGAATTAATTTTCGTTAATGTGAAAAGAAGTTTACTTCGGTTTGGATCAAATCGTTTTATTCGGATAGAGCATTCTCTGGTGAAAGGAGAAAATTGACGTACCGTAGTCTCTTGTTGTCTTGCATTTGAAGCATTCTGCCCTGCTTGCGTAGTTATGAACCCCACAACCGACCCTTGGACAATTCCAATCGCCAGTTTTCCAGCCTGGAGGACAAGCTCCGGCATCATCCCCGTAAGCAACCATTTCAGCTCCATAGTACTGATCGGTATACTCCACTTTGATCATTCCACATCGATAGCAACTTGTGCGGCTCGCGTAGTTGTGGCTCCCACAATTCAATGCACCACAATACCAATCACCAGCCAAAACCTCAGTCCTGTTGTATAAGTACGTTGACACATCTACCCCTCCAAACTTGGGGTATCCACATTTCTGGCATGCCTCTCTTTTTTTGAAGTTTGCGTGCTGACACGCCCCACAAAGCCAGTCTCCTCCATTCCAGCTCATCTTTGTCTATATATATCTCTAACCACCTGAAACGTTTAGTAGTAGTATTTAGCCACAAAAGTAAAGATTTAGGTATGAAAAAAAGCTTATAAAGGAGGATCTTTTATTTAAGAAGAAGGCCGAACCTGAGAAGTCCAGAGACTGGTAAGCCAAAGGAAGTGGTGAAATTGGTAGTTTGAGAAACATGGCTTTATATAAGCATTATAATGAGAATGTAGACTTAGATAGATGCTGATTCCATCATCTTTCTCTGCAACATGAGGATATACCTTTATAAAAAATATATTAAAAAAAAAACATGAGGATATAGTAAAAGAAGTTAAACTAAAAAAATTAATTAGGATGAATTAGCCTTGTGGTGTGGTGGTCAACCAGTTCACGGTAATGTTGGAAGAATAGGATTTATGTCGTCCACTGCAATTCCAATCAAGCTTGCTAAAATGTTTTAAAGATTAGTTCGGATTTCGACATATGTTCCCTCGTGATAAAAAAAAAGAAAAAATAAATAAATAAACATAGTCTTGTGGTGGGAAGACTGAGAAAAAAGATCATAAATTTGGATGGTGTGTGTGCGTGAATTAAATTTCAATGAGTGTAAATAATTTTTTTGATTGATCCAGCAAAATTGGGATTGTAACACCATGTTTTCTCCTGTCATAGTTTTAGAGAAAAATATTTATATTTACGTTCAAATATTACGATGGAAAACATTACCGTGTTTAGAAATAAAAAAAAAAAGTTGAAACTGTGTTTCGTGAGAAGAAGAAAAAGTTCAGAAAATTATTATGATGGAAATAAACCCTTGAACGCTTAAAGTGATTTTCAATTGCATTATTGTGGGTAAAAGAGAGGATGATGAATGGTATTATTCTCTTCTGTTGCCCCCCAACAACCATTTCTTCCAATTCTATCCTTCATTCGTGTTCCTTCATACCTAGCTCCATATTGGATTTCGACATCTTTATATATATTATCTGTTTGGTTCCTATTATCTTGTTATGATATACATTATATATATCTGTTGGGATTAATTTTTAATATATCATGGTTTTTGCTGGTTTTTAACTATAGTATAAGTCTTGTTTATAGAGTCTTTTTAGTATTTTTCAAGTTTTATAGAGTTTTTGCAGGTCTAGGTACGAATGGAGCATAATTGTAGATTCTGTAACCTTTTGGAGCTATACTGAAGTTGATGCTGAAAGGACCAAGTCGGAGGGCATTAAGAAACAGGGTGTCGATCGACACCCACTACTTGGTGTCGATCGACACCGGTTGTGGTCGCGAGGAAGTATAAAAGCTTATTGGAAGAAATTGCAACTTGGCCCAGAAGTTTCTCACTATTTGTATTTTTGTCCTAGTTCGTGTTTAGACTTGTATTTAGGTTTTCTAAGCCATTGTTAGGCAAATATTCTGATATTCATTGAGACTAAGAGAGAGATTAGATTGAGAGCTTTTGGGGAGACAAGAAAAGAATTTCGAACCCCTTCATCTTTTACTCTATTTTCTTAATGCAATATTATTCAGTCATGATTTGTGTTTCACTTGCTATGTCTGAGTAATCTGCTAGTTAGGTTTTGGGTTATTCAAAGGTTGATAATGAATTGTTAGAACTACAAAACTGGAAGGATAAATCATTTGGTTCTTCATCTTGATTGCTTAAATACTGGTTTTAAGATTGATCACCTAGAAATCAGATCTTAGGTTGTTTAATGAATGTGGAAACATTGTTAATCACCAGAACTATCTTAGATGAGAAAAATAACTAGTTGCAAAGGAATTTGGATTAGTGATTTTGTGAACATATCGAACCTGATCTATAATGCATGTTTAGGTTGTTAGAATTTGCAAAGGAATTTGGAATTCTGGAATCTGATCATAGTTAATCTCTGCGACGGAAGTCGATTGGTTTTACATTAGCGATTCGAGTTTTAGAACGGTTTTAATAAATATTCCTTTCAGTCCGTAATCTGTGATTTATGTCTACCAGCGAATTTCCCATTACCTAGTGTCTTGTCTTCTGATTTTAAGAACCTACAATCCACCCCTGACATCATTTCTTTCGTTTGTTACTTTATTTTCATTTCATCATTTATTGCTTAGCTTCATTTGAATCTAAAATCTGTTGAGTGATAGCCTTAAGTCCTTGTGGATTCGATCCCTAAGTACTACAGTGATCTCTTAATTTGAGAGAGTAGCTCTAAGGGTTAATTTGAGCATATCAATTTTATCACCTATAAGATAGTATTTTTGAGTAATTGGTGAGCTTCCCCGAACATGCATGAATCATTAGTCCATCTGCACATTTGGCACGCCGAATAGAGAAGACAGGACAGAGAGAGAGAGCCGTTGGTTGGCCTAAGTGAAGAAGTCAACACTCAGACTGAATCTATTGCTGACGTGTCAATGGGGGTTTGGATGTGGTAAAAGTGGGCTCAACAATTACTTCCAAATCTTAACTGATTGGAAATGTATCGAGGAGTCGACCCTTTTGGCGTTCCTACAAATAATTAATGTCGGCCCGATATCCGAAGGTTTTGCCTGTTTTGAAGCCGTATTAGAATGGTTCATCCCGACTCTGCTGCACATCCCGAAAGAAATACGGGTCTAGTAGAGGCGAGAAAGGGGTTTCCGGAGAAACAATTAAAAAAGCTTACCCCAACCTTGCCGCATATCCCAGAAAAGTATGGGTCTAGCCAGAGCGAAGCTGAGTTTCCTGAGAAACGATTCAAATTCCGGAGAAATGGTTAGGTTCGCTGAAGAACAGTTAAATTGGATCCTACCTTGGGTCGGGCGTGCATCCCAAATACATAGTTGCCCACAATAGGAGGATGTTAGGTTCCCGAAAGAGCTGTTGGTTTCCCACAAATGAGCATCTCCTCAGAGAAAGTTTACTCTTTGCTTCATGAGGCACTAGATTTCCTTACCCATTGGGACTATGATGTAGTTATAGCCTTATGTGACCAAGGGATCGATATAAGACAACGATGCGGTTAGAGACACCTGCCTAAGAACTACAGATGGTGCCTTGAGGGGGTGAAAAGATGGTCTTTGTGCGCAGGTTGCTAACACGAGGGAGAGCCATTGCTTTTCTGCAGTTTGTGCCAGTCAGCTTGAGGCAAAACAGGGCGTCTCCCGGGGGCGATACCGCGAATCCCTCACTGCCTGAACAGTCTTTGTGTTGTGCTTATGCGGAAAGTTTTATAGTTTTAGAATCATGTTGGGCAGTATTTTTAAGAAGATAAATCCCCAAGAAGGAGCGACCTCATTTTCCCAATGGAGCCCTGGAAGGCAAGCGCGTCCATGGAAGGAACACTTTGATGGTTCGTATGGTCCTTGGCGGGAGCTGGCAAGATAGACCCAGAGGTCTGCTGGATAGGTGTCCTAATTCCCAAAGGAATAATGCCCCAGAAGGTGGAGGCATCCCCGGAAGGAGTACACCAAATAGTTGTGTGGTCCCTGTAATGAGCTGGCAAAAAACCTAGAGGTCTACGGGACCGAAGTCCAGAATTCCCAGAAGAATGGTGCCCTGGAATGCAAGCAAGTCCACAGGGGGAGCATGTTGGAAAGGTTGTGCAGTCCTTGGAGGGATCTAACAAAAAAAGGACCCTAGGATCTGCAGGACTGAAGTCTGAAATTGTTGGAGTAATGGTGCCCCATAAGGCAAGCAAGTACACGAGGGAACATGCTGGAAATAAATTCAAACCAAAGGATTTTGATGGAAATTCAGACCACAAGCATGATGCTCGTAGAGGGTAAGATCAATGCAAACAAGGAGATTGAAAGGAATAAATAGGAGATAAATAGGCAAGGGAACGTAGAGCAAAGAATCACACAATCAAAGAATCAAGCAATCACACAAGTAATAAACCACTTAAATAGAAAATTGTTATGGCAGAGAAGCATGCAATCACTTAAACAAGGAATAAAATGGATGATTAAGGTGCTCCCGCACATGAACAAACGACAAGGTGAGCTCGCGTGGCTTGACCCTGTGGGTGAAGGCTGCCTTGGAGCGACACCTGTGTTTGTAGGGTCCGAGAACTTATAACGTTGCGTTATGACTTACCGTTGATGGGGATGGTTATTCGTCTGTGCTTCTGGGGGCTCCATATGCCTTCGTGCTACTTTTCCAAGTAGGGAGTCGTAGTTTTCCCACTCGGGGATATTTTCTTTTGTTGGTGGGTACATTCCATGTGGTGGTTTTTGTTCTCTGCTGTGTGGGAATTAAGGCTGTACTATTCATTTTGCTTCTTGTGAACTGGTCCTTCTTCCCTTCCCTGGGTTGGAAAGCATAACGTAAACCATCCCATTAAAGGGGCATCGCTTCAATACAGCCCGAGACAAAGTTATTTACAAGTTTTTCCCTAGATTTTTACTGTCTTTCGTTGTTGGCTCGAGACTTGCCATCGTCTCTCTGCCTTCTAATGATCTTATAAATAGGTGGAACATGGGGCCGCTTCCTTCAGTTTTCTTTCACAAAATATCTTGATCATGTTTTCTCTTCTTTTTGTTTCTGGTCGACTCCTGATCTTTTCTGATATTCATTGAGATGGTCAACGAGGACTCCACGGAAGAAGCCAAAGCCCGATTGGTTAGGCATTGTTACTTTCAGCTAGTCTCTGGTTTCCTGAAGGTGCCTCTTGCCTCAAGGATGTTTTGTCCAACTCCCGAGGCAGGACCAATCGCAAATGTTCTTGCTGGTCGAGGCATGAGCCTTTTGCCTGGGTGAACCGTTTTTGTGACCTCCTCTTTACCAGGCTGCGTGGATTTTTCTTTCCGATGTTTCCACGACCTTTTATGGTCCCCTTCTGTTGGAATTGGGGTTCGGTGCTCCATCTGGGGGAGCTGTAGCATCCCGCTCCGCTGACTTGACCATCAACAGTCTAACAAAGGCGATCGGGTTGGTGGTGTATCTCCGGGGCTCCCTCATGTGGACGTATAAGCGGGAGGAGAGGGTCCTAGAGGAGATACAGCGGTGACACCCTAACGCGGATTTCCGGGGTGCATCAGGCGATGGCTTTTTCGATACTGGGAGATTACTCTTGTTTCTGGGTCAGGCTCTGGGTTTCTTTCTCTTGAAAAGTGCTTGCATGTGGAGCACTGCCGGATGGACACTTTCACCGGAGAGGTTTGAATCCTCTGAGAGCGCCTGATCTCGGTCTCTAGCCAATCGACCC